GAATCGTTTCTGTTAGAGTTGGATAGAGTACTGTTTGATCATTTGATGAATTACTCTCAATACATAAACATGGTTCCATTAAGAAATTAGATGGGCATTGACTTTGAACAAAAATGAAGTATTGAACAATAATAAATAATAGAATCGAAAATATATATGTGTGATACATATTGAATAGTCTTTTGTTGAAAATAATAATAATAGTAAATACAAAAGAAGTAAAGCAACATCAAAATAAGGATTTAGATGAAGATTACAGATAAATAAATGCAGGAATAATATAATGTTAAATAGACGATTAAAAAAAAGTAAAATGTGATTCACAGTTCGACATGATATTTTTTGAAAGGATTAATAATTAAACCAATGGTTTGAGCAATTGATTTTATTCGTAGTCAATATATTTTGAGACACATGTAAACGATTTTAGAGGGTCATCTATAAAGAGCGTTTCGGTAGTGAGGAGAGAAGGGTTCGTCAAACTTGAATGGAAGGAGAATGTCAAACATTTCTGGACGTCCAGACACTTAACTTGAATATATTACAGACAACATTAAACTTACGAGGGAACATTCCCAACTGTTACATCGCTTTTGAGTCGAGCGTATACACATCATGTAGGTCCTAATGATCTATGAATACTCTGAAAAAAGTTTGTACCGCTAGCTTATTACTGCCGAGATATTGCATTTTTACTGTATTTATAAGCAAAAAAGCCGTGGTCCCCTCAGGAACACTAGGAAAACTGAGTTTCGAATTTCAACTTGAAACTTTGTACAGGGACAGGTCTCAATGATAATAGTTTATTGTGAAAGTTTCAGATCTTTTCATTGCTGCTAGTCTGAAATAAGAATATCGGAATCTGCTGGTGTATATAAGCTATTTTACAATAGTTGTATCTTAGGATAGGAACAACGAAAAGATCTGAAACTTTCACAATCAACTATTCTCATTGAGGCCTATCTCTATGTAAAGTTTCAAGTTGAAATTCGAAATTTAGTTTTTCTAGTGTTCCTGCGGAGACCACGGCTTATTTTCTTAAACATACAGTAAAAATACAATATCTCGGCAGTAATAAGCTAGCGGCATGAACTTTTTTCAGAGTATTCATAGAACATTAAGACCTACATGATGTGCATACGCTCGACTCAAAAGCGATGTGATACTTAGGAATGTTCCCTCGTAAGAAGCATATAGTGGAAGGTTAATTTCATATCAATGATGTCGTGAGTGGGCATGGACATGGAGTATGGGTGTGTGGGTTAGGATATGGTTCAATACAAGATCTCAACCATTCCCATACCTAGATCCGTTTGGATTCCTTCACGAAGTATGAGTAAGAGAGAGGACTATGCTTATTGTTGAAATTACAACCAAAGCTTCATGATAAATGTGCTTGGTTCAGTTAGGGACAAGCAAATTCAAGTACCCATTTCATGGCGCTGTCTACAATCGTATTTCAGTAAACATAGGCGACAGGGAATCGGTTTTATGAAATTTCGGTTATTCGCATGTTGGCGAATTCTGATTAGATCGTTGATTATCGAGTCTAGTGTGACGAATTCAGTAAGTGACGTCTTGCAGATGTCGCTTAAATTTGGATTAGAATCCTAGGCAAATCTTGGAATCGACATAGGGAAAGAACAGATGATCATGAAAACGGTCTGAGTCATAAATCTTCGACTTCCTGATTTTTTTCTTATATTTCTTCAAAGTGACTCAAGTTCGGCCCCTCATCTCCTCTTTAAAATCAATAAAGGTTCAATATTTCTAGTATGACTCCATTAATTATAACACTGATTTCTTATCATTTTCCGATGACAGGAAATGTGTTCAGATTGAATTCAGTTTGATGCTCATTTGCTGCAATAAAAGTACAATCGAATCGATCACGAGAGAAAAACAGATAAAGCAGTTAATATGCAGAAAAGTACTATTAGAAGAGTTCGATGTTCTACAAAACCAATGGAAGATGATACATATTTGATAAGTTACCAATTGCTTTGTTTTCTCTGACTTGGATTAATTGATACTCGAAAGTGTAGGGAGGAACGTAAAGATGGATGTGTGATTTTCATGTTGTAATACGAAGCGAGCAATTTTCATCAAACTAATCGGGGAAAAAACTCTGGAAGTGTCTACATGGTCCAAAAGATCCTTAAGTATGTTTTTTTGTGCTGAAAGTAAAGCAAATGGACGGGCATCAGACAGATTTAGCAACTTCATAATGATAATCAGATAACATGACAAAGTCGAGTTCTCTTTCAAAGCCATAAGATTGAGAGAACGAAAAGACGTATTCGATCTTCAAAATGTGCGATCAAAGCATTCATATTAACTTTTTTCATACGATGACTGCTCCCCATATCTTGATAAAGGTAGAAGGTAAGTGGCCATGTATTGCAACAATCCGACAATATTCGTTCCGTTTCATGATAATCAGAATTATATTGTTCTCGACAATGGAAACTCTATGTTCAAAGACTCAACATAGTGTTGACAAAGACATGGTAGTGTCGATTTCTACAGTCATCGACCGTTCAACTTGTAGGGACAATATAAAGAAGTGATCGATACAAAAATGTATTGATACATAAAATTCAAAGTCTAGATGATAAAGCCAATCATTAACGAAGAGCAGAATGTTGAAACAAGACACGGTTGATTATGAACTGTTTGTTCATCCACATTTCTTTTAGCAAAGAAATCCGACGAAGTTTTTCAGGTCTTTGTTGTTTTATGGCACCTTGCCTTCACATCAGTTGGTAATCAATAGTTGTCAAAGCAGTAAAATTGCATTTAAAATACTGCTTTTGTTCTTCATGAAGTGTATTTTTCTGTGACATATTTGGACTGTTGCAGTGCAGTGAATAGAAATGAAATGAGTGATGCAGGCGTTCTGATTAAGTACTATGAACTACTTGTTTCATTAACAAGTCGTTTTACTTTTTCGATTTCTTTAAACAATTTCTCAGCAAAAAATTCATTTCGAAATAAGTGACTATCAACTGTACTCTCAAATGATCGTTGACAAAAGTCTTGTCTTTCTCAAAGTTTTCCATACGGATTACTGATCAGATGTTTGACTATAACAAGAATCCAGAATCTTTTCACCTTGTGAACTGTAATAGATTCACTGTCGTTGTCTAAACTTTCAGGTAACTGGAGGAGTGAAATCTTATTCGCAAACAAAGGTACGCTTCATCTTCTTGTGTAACCACCTGTTCTTCTATGGCAAGCTACTCTTACACCATCAGCAATTTGATACTATTCTCTCACCAGTGAGATTGACTGAAACATCACCCTGGCTTATCTCAAAGTTAACAACGGACCATATTATGCTCTAAAATCATGGAGCAACCCTTATCTTATGTTTAGCATCCCAGTTAATAGAAGAATCAAAGTTAGACATGCGTCATTCACAGAGAAAGTTGCTATTTGTCAAAAAATTTCACAGATATCATCTATTTCCTCTTCACTGCTTGAAACATATTGTCACTCAAGCTCGCAGAATATTGACTAACATATAATACATGTTATACGAAGAATGTCACTGCTTTGTTTGTCGACGGCAGAGAGAGTATCAATTTCAATCATCATTCTTTTTGCTATTTGCACAATACGATATATGATCGTCACCGTTGCACCAATATTTACTGTAGATCAACATGAAGTTTCATCAACCTACAGGATTCTTTGCTTTCAATACATTACCTTGAAACATAAAGAAGAAAAATAGAATGATTCATCGAATATCAATGAGTGAATAAAAGCCAACTATTGACTCTCCTTACATGACTATAAAAAGGAGTCGTGCGCTTGATAGATGCATTAATCAGTACGAATCATGCCTAACGGTACACTCGAAGTAGTCGTTGCGGAAGGACGTCGTCTTAAGGATCAAGATACGTTTGGTAAAAACGATTCCTATGTGGAAGTCTACTTGGACAAAAAGTACAAACAACGGACTACCATCATTTCGAACACGAATGATCCCGTTTGGAACGAACGATTTTCATTCAATATTCATGACGGTGACGATACCATTCATTTTGATGTCTACGATGACGATGTCGGCGACAAAGATGCAATTGGCAAGTGTAAAGTTAAACTGAAACATGTCTTCGACGATGGAAAATATGATGAATGGGTGAAATTACCGGCGATGCTCGGACTGTCATCCAATGGCGAAATACATATCATCATGAGATTTAGAGTGAGTACTGTTCAGACAAAAGCTGTCATCTCTAATCATTGCTTCCTCTCTATTGTAGCCATCTTAATTCACATGATCAACAAAGCAGCGCGATGATGGAAACAATTCTTATCTTACTCGCTTCTAATCTCTCGATGTTGTGTTTTCTAATCAAGACTAATAAATAAAACTCGTATAAGGAAAATCAATAGATATCGTCAGCTATCTGTTATTGTCAGAGACTGCTGGTCAAAAATATATTGGAGCGCTTGAGAATGTGGGCGTGAATGTAGGTGTGACTAGGTGTGTGAATGTGGATGTGAGTGGGTGCGTGTGAGTAAGTGATGCAATGGGTCTTCTTTTCATCGTCACTGCCACTTTCACTCAATTACCAGCACATCAGATCACATCCGCACCCACACCCTCTGAAGCCATCTGATATCGGATCAAATCTTTTTTAATAGGATCCATAGGCCATATTGAATCATTTGGAGACAAAGATAATACAGAGCATTCTTCGATGCCTATAGATGAACTTAAATTACTAACGGATAAGTTGAAGAAGAGTGAATATTCTAATATCATATGTGTCAGTTATTTTAAAGCAAAAGTAAACCAAAATCATTAAGAAAGACTTCAAATATTTTCATACTTCTTGACTGAGACATTTAAAACGTGTCAAAATTTGTTGATAGTAAGTTGAATAAGACTTTATTTTTAAAAAAGATAATATAATAATTATTCATCAATAATGAAAAGTACTTTTTTTTTAATGTTTTGTGTTATTTGAATGCATAAGTTTAGTTTAACTTGTTGGTTTGTCAACGTGAGGAGCGTAACGTGGACGTGATCTAATCAAAGAAAAATAAATGAGTTTGCATTTGTAGTATTTTTTTAAACAGACCTTTTTTTCTTCTTCGCTGTTGCCTGACTGTCTTCGGGTTGTGGTTCTGGTAGATAAACTATGGGGGAAACCTTTTCATCTTTGTTTGAAAATTCTTTACGGTTTTCCATCGCTTTAGCTTCTTGGCAGTCATGAATGTTTCCTTCTATATGAGAATAAAATCTACTATTTATATGAGTAGTACTATCTATTTACGATTACTGTCTATTCCAGAAGCATTCAAGTTATTTCCCTTTGGATGATATATATTTACTTGAAGATGTGTATCCCATTGTGGAATATGTTTACCTGTGCGCAGAAAAGAAAAAACTACTTCACATATTTGAAAGATACTATATACCATTGTATTCTGCAACTGCAGCAGCGGCCGATTCCTTGTTGACATAGGTTACTTTTGCGTTACACCAGCCGTTCTTCTTTTTTGGACGTTTAAAAATAGATATTTCAGTTTTCTGATTATTTGGATTGTGCTAGAAAATATCGAAATATTGAATAATACGTAAACACGTTTTCATATTCAGTTTAGTGATGCGACTAATCTTTGAATGTACTATATGTCATGTCAAACTGTACCCAAATAACTGGATAGATTAGATCATGTGCATTGGATGAGACAAATACAAGTAATAGTTGATTTTATAGGAAAATCTTCTGGCGAAGGGATGAGCAGAACTAATCTTCTACTTATTTCAAATTTTAATCATGTTTATACGCATCCTGTTCACTCATTGTATAGTATGTTTGATATAAATTGTGAGAATCTAAAATTTCTTATATATGTATAATAATGATAAGTGTACCTTGATAGGTCCAACTTTTGAAAATAGATCAAATATATCGTTAAGTTGGACGATAGCAGGTAAATTTCTGATAAATATGGCATCTTCTGCATTGTGATTGGTATCATCAACGGGTGAATCTGAAACTGATGAAGCGTCACTTTCATCGTTCGGTTCATTTGTCGCTGCTAAACAAACAGTAATCGTACATGACCAACGCTTGCTTTAAAAATTCACAAAAACATTTACTTACGCTTTTGTAACTGATACATCTTTTGTGTCAGTTCCTTAATTTCTTTGTCATGTTGTTGAACATGATCGATAAGTTGTCGATTTTCAGCAATCAGTGAAGCTAATACTGGTCGCAATGGTTCAAAAATACATGTCGTATTATGATTCTGTAATTCACCACGTGGTCCTTCCCAAGGACATTTAATGTCAGCAGCTTTACATTGAACTACTGATTCTGGACAAACCTTGTTAATATGATCCACAAAGTTTCCACGTTGTAAACCAGTTTGTGCACATAATATGCACTGAACACGAAGTTGATCAAGTATATTCCGCAAGGGACGACTGACTTGGGTGAGTTCATTGATCGATAAGGGCTTCTTAACACACACAGGACATGAACAATTGTTACTCTGATGAAGCCATTGTGTGATGCATGCGCGACCATATGTATGTTCGCATGGTGTACAAACTGGATCCTTAAGAGGCTTATGACAAATACTGCATATTAAATTTCGGTCAATGGACTGCTCATCCATGTATTCCATAAATTCAAATTCACAGCCGTCTGTCATTAGTAACTGGAAAACAGTATCTATAAATAATCTGCATTGATTTTTTAAAAACAGCTATTATTTATGGCATGTAATAGTCATTAGTTTTAGAGATGTATTAAAGTATTTTTTTAAAACGTAGCAGATTTGCGTAATTAATTAAAGAGTATCGCACTAATGAGGGAACATATTTGAATGTTCTCCCCTGAGAATGAGTTCGGATGCATTCTATGTATTGGGGACCTCGATGAATATTTCGAATATTAATATCGTAGCTGTCCCCACTCAGGTCTCGAAAAATTAGAGTATCAAATTTTTTCTTTTTTAGGCTCTCTCTTACTAGTAGATGTATTTTGTTCTTTTTCGCTTTTTTGTTAAATTTACAAGAACAATCAGTTTTCTTTCTGAGAAGACAACTTGAAATGAACATAAGTCGATATGAAGGCGGTATCTCGTTATCATAAGTGAACATATCACAACTATGTTTCTCAAGCAAATACTCATCTGATCGATTACTTATCGTTTTTGATAATACAGGGAAGCAGTAGATATAAATAGCTAAGTTGAAAAAATAGATGTGACATGTTCACTTATAATAACAAGATAGCGCCTTCATATCGACTTATGTTCATTTCAAGTTGTCTTCTCACAAAGAAAACTGCTTGTTATTGTAAATTTGACAAAAAAGCGAAAAAGAACATGACACATCTACCAGTAAGAAAGAGCCTAAAAATGAAAAAGTTTGATACTCTAATTTTTCGAGACCTAAATGGGGACAGCTAAGATATTAATCTTCGAGATATTCATTGAGATCTCTAACAGATAGAATGCATTCGAACTCATTCTCAGGGAAGACACTGAAATATGTTCCCTGATGAGAGTAAGACAATAGCAGCCAGTATCCAAGCGAACAGAAAAAAAGAAAAAGCGAGTGAAAACGCTATAGTGATTTCGACCATTTTCGGTTTCTCATCACGATTTCCGATGGTCAGCCAAAAACATTTAAATAAGTACAGTGTGACAACGAATACTTCTTACACGGGATAAAATTTTGGATAGTTTATGCGTTACAAATTCTTAGCCATTTTGAGATCTACTTACTATAAGCATTGCTGACTCACAATTAAGAACCACGATTAGCATCCTAAAATGCCCAGATTTTCCGTGTATTGACAAGTTCCTTTATTTTTAGTCTAGTTTCATGCCTTTCCTGTTTCCAACCGGCTATCCGATAGGCACTTCGACATGTCGATTTAAGATTGCCATGAACATCGAAATTTCAAACGTACCCTAGAATTCTCACTTTCCGATGAGTCGAGAGCTTGGCGATAGGTCAGTAAAACGCTGAGTTTTTGACCAGCCGAACGATTTTTACTGAGAGAATCAAAATTTGATCAAAATAAAAAGGATTTTTTTCCTATAGTATGCCTTATTCTCGAGACGTCAAAATCTATCGATATAAACGCGGAGAAGATTCGAACATGGGTACTTACAATTAATATTCGTCGAACATCTAAACTAAATATGAACTATTGTTCTTCGATCAAAGTTATCTTTTCAACTCTTAGAAGGATAACAGTTTCAAGATTGTTATTTTAACACTTGCTAACAGTTCTTTAAAATAAAAATAAAAACTTTTTAATCGAATAAAAACATCTGTTGCATGTCTCTAAATAGAGAAAACGTTTTTTTCGAGTCTCTAATGCCATCTACGGAGTTTATTTGATAAATAGTTGATATAGGTGATAAAATAGAGTCTGTGGGGGTAATTCTGATCAAAAATTAAAAATTTCATTTTATTTTTTTTCGTTCTCATTCACCTTACTTTGTAGAAAGGTGATTTTTTTATCATAACTAGATCAAAGTGTCTTCTATCAACTGACGAAAGAATCTCTGAAAAAGCATGTACTAGAAAAAGTAATAGCAAAAATGGTGAGAGGGGATGCGAGCTGATCCGAATTACCCCAATTGGGATAATTCGGATCAGTCAATCAAACTAGTCCGGGTAATTCCGATCACTCCAGCAAAAATAGCTGTAATGTTTTTCCCCAACTCATAACTTTTTTTTTGTCCATTGTCATATGAATCAAAACTACACCATTCGATAGCTCAAAGTCTTGTCCATGGAACCTGAAAATATTTCGATGGATGAATGAACCGTTGCGATATACTGAATAAAACTCTGAGGCCATTCTCAACCATGTAAAAAAGCATTTGGGGTAATTCGGATCATTCTAATTCCCTTGATTGTAATCAGGGTCTTAATCCCGAAATTGACTGTGTTTGTCGGCAGAGTAATAGTTCGAATCCATGTCACAGGAAAAAGCGATTTTTTAGTGGCATCCTTAGGTCCTGAAGTCCTATCCCATTGGAACATAAGTTCTGCACGTTTTTTTTTCGTTGTTAGGAGTTTCACACTTGATACCTCTTGACTAGAAAGAGGTATAAATCTGAAATTTTTAGCGTAGATAGAACTCATAAAGCTCTATCAATTCTAAAATTTTCAGATTCATTTATCTTCCTAGTCACGAGGTATTAGGCCTGAAACTCTCCTAACAACGAAAAAATCCTCCAGAACTTATGTTCCAACAGGATATTTGGTTTTTTGATCGGAATCATTTATCCGAGTATTCACCCAAATTATTGTGAAGTTATGTAGAATACATTCGCGATCTTCATCTGCATCAGTTGAGGCAGGAAGACTGCTATTTGATGGGAGTGTTAATGCTGATATTTGCTTGATTTTGATCTTTACTTGATGGCGCGATTGCTGATTTGAAAAGATGAACGGAAATTGAAATACGCATATTCACCACGAGAAACTACGAAGAAATGAGTTCTGCTTTTTTTATTGAAAGTAGTCATGGCGAGAAACAAATAGAATGTATATAAACAATTTTTTTTGGTGAGTTTTTTCCAACTTTCTTCCAAGTAATTTTCTTTTTCAGTTCTGTGCTTCGGTACTGTGTTTACTTTTGAATTCGAATTTCTGTTGCTCCTCTCGAGAGCACTCTCGAGTGAAAATGATGTTGATGCTTCGCCAAAAGTATTGCATTGGTTCATTTTCTCTTGTGCGACACTAAACCTTTGCGCTTACGTGTCCGTTGTCGTCGTTTTCGAGCACAGATATACTCGTGCATTGTAATTCAGTATCAACACTGATCCCAAGAGCTCATATCTTCTTTCAAGCCGTTTCAAACGTATCAGTCAACGATGTCCATGAAAAATAAGAAAGAGAGTGATTGAAAAACACTCAGAGTGACATTGATTCTATCCGATTGGAACATAAATTCTGCACGGTTTTCTTTGCTGCCATAGTAGTTTTAGATCTTATATCTCACAACTAGGAAGAAACAAAAATCTGAAATTTTTAGTTTGGATACGACTCATAAAGCTCTGTCAATTCTATGAATTTCACATACAAATCTCTTCGTCGTCACGAGATATAAGATCTAAAATTCCTCTACCAGCAAAGAAAAACGTGCAGAACTCATGTTCCAATAGGATATATTAAGGGAATACCTTTAGGTCCTCAAGTCCTATATTAGGGGCTAGCTTTGGGTCCTCAATTCATTCAATAGCGCGTACCCCTGGGCCCTGAAGTCCTATATTAGTGGCTACTCTAGGTGCTCAAGTTCTGTATTAGGGGGTATCTTTGAGTCTTCAGGTCTTACAATAGCGGGGTACTCATGGGTCTTCAAGTCATATATCATAGCATAGAATGTGTATGTCTGTTTGATACGCGTACAGTGTGGCGCTATAGTGTATCTCTCGCTCTTCTTTCGCTTGATCTCCTCTTTTTTCTTCCTTCTAACTTTTCTGCAGCATGATTTTTTCTGGGTGTATTAATAGCTCTTTAAACACTAATTCTTCAACGAAACAAAGCAGAAGAAGAAAAAGCAATATGAACAAGTAGCGTGGATCGAGGCGATCCACCGGGTCCTTTCACTGCATAAAGTCTTTTACCATTTAGATGCCTGTTTCTGAACTACAAAAACTTAGCTGAGGGAGTTTACCCTTCTGTATGCATTAATATCCTCCGCTATAACATTGCAATTAATTTTGATTGTTTGTCTGCTTCTTTTTCTTTTTGACTAATGTTTTCATTTCTCTTTATACTACTGATTGCTTAGTGATAAATATCTTCATTGCAATATTCGCATGCGTATAGCACTTGAGGGCCTAAGGGTACCTCATAATGTAGGACTTGATGACTTAGGGGCACCCCCATAATATAGGGCTTGAGGACCTAAAAATATCCTTATAATATCGAACTTGAGGACCTAGGGGTACCTCCCTAATATAGGACTTGAGCACCTAGAAGTACCCTCCTAATATAGGACTTGAGGTCCTAAAGATACTCCCTTAATACAGGACTTGAGGACCTAAAGGTTACTCCCTTAATATAGGACTTGAGGACCTAAAGTACCTTCGTAATACAGAAGTTGAGGTCCTGGGGGTACCTCCCTAATATAGGACTTGAGGACCTAGGGAGACCTTCCTAATATAAGACTTGAAGACTTATGGGTACCTTCCTAATATAGGAGTTCAGGACCCAGGAGTACGCGCTATTACAGGCATTGAGGACCCGAAGGTACTTCCTAATATAGGACTTGAGGATCTAAAGGTACTTCCATAATATAGGACTTGAGCACCTAAAGGTAATCCCCCTAATATAGGACTTCAGGACCTAAGGATGCCACTAAAAAATCGCTTTTTCCTGTGACATGGATTCGAACTATTACTCTGCCGACAAACACAGTCAATTTCGGGATTAAGACCCTGATTACAGTCAAGGGATTTAGAATGATCCGAATTACCCCAAATGCTTTTTTACATGGTTGAGAATGGCCTCAGAGTTTTATTCAGTATATCGCAACGGTTCATTCATCCATCGAAATATTTTCAGGTTCCATGGACAAGACTTTGAGCTATCGAATGGTGTAGTTTTGATTCATATGACAATGGATAGAAAAAAAGTTATGAGTTGGGGAAAAACATTACAGCTATTTTTGCTGGAGTGATTGGAATTACCCGGACTAGTTTGATTGACTGATCCGAATTATCCCAATTGGGGTAATTCGGATCAGCTCGCACCCCCTCTCAGCATTTTTGCTATTACTTTTTTCTAGTACATGCTTTTTCAGAGATTCTTTCGTCAGTTGATAGAAGACACTTTGATCTAGTTATGATAAAAAAATCACCTTTCTACAAAGTAAGGTGAATGAGAACGAAAAAAAATAAAATGAAATTTTTAATTTTTGATCAGAATTACCCCAACAGACTCTATAAAATCAATATTAAAAAAAAAATTTTCAAACATTCAAAACACAAAACTCGTTATGGCTATGTTTTTTGTCAAAAACGTTTATGGATTCGGATCTTACTTGTTATTTTTCATCATTTAATGTTAAATATTTTTTAGAAAATTATGCAATTAAACAAAATATATGTTGAATATAAATCATCCTACTAAGGTAGCTGAATGGAAGAAACATTTGTAAATTACTTTTGGAATGAGTTTCATGAAATCAAAATTAACCACACCACTTGAATCTGTTATTCCGTTAGACCTGCTTCTATTGGACCACCTAATATTATTCTTTCGATATGTTTCTTTTCTCGAGTATTCAAAACTTCGATGAGTATCGAAGGATCTTAAAGTGCTTGAGAAGTCCAAAATGAATATCCAATAGAATACAGTTTTCGAGTGGTCGGAGTCCGATTACTACTGGTAGGATCGAAATCAAGAACGAACAAAAACTATATATTTCAAATTTTCGAGCGCTCGTCGCATCCATCGTATGATTCTTAAAGTCTGCTTGGATTATGCTTTCTCATGAATTTCTTGTCCGTGTGAGTGATTCACAGAATATTAATAATTGGTATGCAGATAGATAGATATGTCTCTTTATCCATTAACTTACTGCAAAGCTATCTAGCAATCGGCCTACCTCACTAATTATCTACCTACGTATCTAACTACCTACAGAACTACCTATCTATCTAACTAGCGTACTTCACTAACTGCGTCCTATCTACTTATCTACACCACTGCTTATCTATCGATCTAATCACCTACTTAAATCCCTAAACAAAAACCTTTCTCT